ATAGGTCTTATTATTGCAGTGTAGATCTAGGCGACTACAGAGGGTGAATGACCCCATGCGCGTCCCACTGTCCTCCGACATTGCTCATAAGCCACGTATGATCTTTTTGCTCTACTCTGTAGGTGAGAGTTCCATGTTAGCTTCTTGTCGAGGATAGTACCAAGGTATTTCACCTCTTCAGAGAAGTTTAGTTTACTTTTGAAGATTTTGGGAGGTTTTAAGCCCGATAAACAACCATCTCAGTCTTCTTGGTATTGATTTTTCTTTGTATAAACTATATCATTTCTCTAAACATTCACCAATAGGGTTAATAAATATGATTGATGTACAACTACTGCTAACTTTGGTTGTGACGTGGGTTGAAAGAATAACGAAGTTATATTATTATAACTGGCCCTATATATTTACTTCCATGAAATGTGAATACCAATAAGTATAATGATGATAAAATGAATTTATGCAAGACTGCGTTCGGTTTGAGTGCAATTTCTCTGATATGAAAATTGTTTTCGTTTGTCCTAAGATGTGCTCGCCCTGAAATTCGAATAGTATTTCTTCATTCAAACAGCATAAATAAAGAATGTAACTAAATAGGTAAGTGATATAATATATTTATTTCTGAACATTGGCATATTTAAGACAATATGCCAATAAAAATTAGAAATAAAAGACAACTATTATAATAATGTAAAAAAGTTCGAAAGGTTCTCAGATCTGCTCAAAGATTCTTATTATGAATGTCGGAAATATAACAGAAAAAAAATACTGGCCGCATAAGGTGTTGAATAAATCATGCTAACTATAAATATACCAGTTTTTGTATCCAAAAAAGTTTCTCTCACCTGGCCCACACCACTTTGTTCCTGGATATATGAAACCACCCTGAAAAGGCGATTTGATTTGACTTTTCTTGCAGGCTTCCTCGAGTTCTTCAATCGAGTTATCAGACATCTGTTTCATTTTTGTTGAATCCGTATTGAGTAACATATCTCTAATTTTTCCTCTGGAATTGCCAAACATTACATTATCAGTCAATGCCACATGAACCATATTCATTTTTTTCATGTTTTACAGAAATAACTATCCCACAGAATATTATTACCATGAAAATTATTTGAAATTGATCAGAACACGAATGACAGCATTATGGTGAATACGGTTTCTGAATTTCTATTATGAATTTTCACTAAACAGTAACAAGTACCTATTTTGCTATACAATATTTTCTCAGGGTTGACTTATACTTTTTATTAGGTTTTATCAAAAGTTTTGTACGTTTTTATGAGTCTACTTTAAACTGTAATACTTATTCAATTCAATCAAAATAAGCGTCATTTGAATCAGTTTGATAACGTAACATAAGTCAATTAATTGCGTCAGCAAATTGTTGCTTGGGATTCGATGAAGTCGACGAAGGCCGTTTTGCCTTCGTGCATGAAAAGATGTAGTCAGTTGGTGGACGGTGACTTGTGAATTGTGTGGATGGACGTTGTCATGAAGCAGGATCGGACCTCTTNAGAATTAATGAATATTGAGATATGGTGCCACAAAAACACATGACATTTAAACGGACAAAACTTTTGAAACAACCGAATAAATAAATCCTTGAGAAACAGTTGGAGGGCTTTAAAAAATTTGTTTTTGATGAATACCTCAAGCCCAAGAAACACTTATAGGGGTTTAGATAATTGTTTTCATAAATATCTACCGAAAAAATGTTTTCAATTCGTTTATCAGGGAGGTGCGTAAAACAGATTTCATATACAACTGCAGTTATAAGGTAAAAAATTAAATTATATACATACTTATCTTTCTGAACCACGCAATAAGGTGGCCTGGTTGTTAGTTCTATCATTTTTGACATTCCATAATTGCATATGAACACAGTGCTTGCTGCAGTCTCGTATACCAGCAAAAAATTCCATACGGTTAGTAATTGCACTAGCTGAAAAATTAAGAGAAACTATACAAATATATACAGTGTCACCATTAAAGTGCGCACCATATGGGAAACTTTTTTTTCGAAAAGTTTCAATGAAGTTTAACTTCGGCACTTGTTTGTGCATTAAATTTAACTTAAAATGATGCGGCCAACTGCGGCCAACTGCGACCCATTGACATTCAGTGTTTGTCAAATTCAACTTTTTTTTTTGAAAAAAATTGAAAAAGTGCATTTCTAGATCGAATTTAACAAAAAGTTACTTGAAAAAGTTGTGTCTACGGCAATTTTATATCCATATGCCAAATTTTATGCAACTAGGATAAAGTTAACGTTTTGCTTATTTTTGACAGATATCCCCTTT